ATATGCTCTGAAGGTCAAAGGTGTCTTTTTATTTTACTTACTTTTATTTATTTATATTTTTTTTACAAAAATTTTAAAGAAAAAAATGAATGTGCCTCCTTGGTACTAGGTTATCTCTGATACTAGTAAATAAGTATTTGAAGAATTAAAAATACCATAAAACAGAGAATCAACATTTCTCCAAATCATTTAAAATTGAAATAACTAAATTTAACTTTAAATACACTGAATAAATTAAAATAAAAACCATTTGAAAAAAAAAAATCTTCAATGAGAAATATGAAATGAATTACTTTTTTATTCTTAAAACTGGTCAACTGAAACCAAAATCATCTTCAAAATTCCTTGTCCCTTCAGAGGTATGTGATCACAACTATCTTTTTCTTCATTATCTATGAATTGCTATATCTTCTTGGAAAAGACAGTAGAATGGTTTCCTATTGCATTCACCAATCTTTGGAAATCACATTTCCTTCTCTTAAGCTGGTTGCTACCCGAGACCAAAGAGTTGAGATTACTCTACTATTTAACCCATATATTTTTTTTTACAGCTTATCAACCTTTCGCAACTTATTTAAAGCCATAAAATATTTTTAGAGTGTAAGAATTTATTGGAGATAATAATGATTTAGAGATACAAGTCCTACTACTTAACCCATAGCTGGGGGAGAAGAGGTGGATTCATACCTTTCCCAAGGGTATTTGTGCATAAGTGAATATAATGAACCTGAATGAAATTGGAAATCAGCTCTCCAATTTCCAAGTCATTGTTCATTGCATCACCCACACATCCAAGCTTACAGTACCTGGTATTCCCTAGTCACCCATCTACGTACTGACCAGGTTCAATGTTGCTTAACTTCAATCATATGAGAACTAGCATTTCAATATGATATGGCCATAAGCCTTTAACCAATAGAGGGATTAATAAATGTCTTTCCTAAGAGCATCTATGCAAATGCACTTGACTAGGTCAGGGTTAGAACTCGGCTCACCATTTCCATATTCAGCATCAATAACCATTACACTAGGTTATATACATAACATTAAAAGAAGAAATTAGTAAGAAAACTAGTAACCTACAAAATGAATTTTCAATGATATATAAGGAATAAACATTTCGAGACATTCACTCTAATACTGTCTGTGTAAATGTTTTCAAGAGATAGGAATCAAAACATTTTTTTAAAAAAGACAATTTTGTTTGATTGGGAGCAGAGCTTATCTCTAAAATTGAAGCAATTACAAGTCACCTTGTTGAAAGCTAAGATAAGATTCAGCAAAAAAGTTTATCTTCTATTTGATAATTTCTGATTTTTTTGGAGTTTTTTTCAGATACTTATTCAAAACAATTTTCTTCCTAACTATATTTTTATGAATTTTGATCTACTAGTAAATTAAAAATTAATCTGTGGATTTTAGATTTCAAATCAGCCTTGTGTAATGTTCAATCAGTAATTTCAGCATCCACGTAAACCATGGACAAAACTGCAATTTTTTCCAGACCCCAACATTATCTTTATAATTATATAGACGGGATATCCAAAATATTAACTTTTGAAACTTTAGTGAAAAAAAATATAATTCACAGCTTATAATCATATCATTTAATTATTTTTCAATTTAATTTATAAATTAATAACTTTTAAATTTATTTTTAATAAAATCATTTTACCTCAAGCAAGGCAATAAAGCCACTAAGATGCAATAGATTACTGAGTGTGAGAGGATATAAGGAAAAAGACACTATTAATGAGAGAGAACAATAAAAGAACAGGAATTAAGAAGATAATGATTGACATTGCATTTAAATTTTGAAGATATAAGGAAAAAAAGACACTGAATGAGAGAACAATAAAAGAACAGGAATTAAGAAGATTGACATTGCATTTAAATTTTTGAGTTCCAAAAGCAAGAAGTGTAAAAGAAGAGTCAGCATAGAACTTATGGTTACATTTAACCATTTCAACTTTAAAATGATGAAACCTTGCTGCCAATCTAGTACTGTGCTTAAATTCATAACATCTAGGCACCATAGAGAAAAGTTCATCAATTTTAATGTGCTCAATTTAATAACAAATTTTAATCAAATTTAATGAACTCCATTCTTTAATGCCACCAGCTCTACAAACCTGTGGATGTAGCTTTGCTACATCCACAGGGTTGAATCAGCCTCATTCCTGCTATATTCCAACAATAAGAAAGAAGTTCCACAAAGACTGCTTCTCAAGAATGACTACTGTATGGATGCTTCCTCAAATGCTACAATCTTAACCTCTTCAAGTCTAAGGTCAATCGTTATCCATCCCCCATATCCTCATAATCTTCTACTCATACATTCATATCTCACACCTCATTCAGTAACCCTTTACTTTGAGGGGCTCTTGGGCCTTGTACTAGATGGACATTAGTAAAAAAAATATATATATATATATATGAGGGGATGCTGAAAAGTTATTGGCCCAATTCACTTCTCAGGATCAGACTAAATAGCTAAATATCAGAATTTTAAAAAAATCTCTTCAGGATTTGAAAACTTTTCAAAACCACAATTATATCAGGTGCCCCAAAAAGTTTTTGCCGATTTTTGTTAACTTATTTCTGGCCCAGCTGTTTAGTTACTAACAAGCAAAAGTATACAGGAAGCAACTTGTATTGATAAGTACATTGTTGAATGATTCAGTTATTATTTTATTACATAACTAATATCATTTTATTTCTCATTTCAGAGTCCTCAAAATGACTGATAAAAAATTGGTCATTTGTGCTTGTCTGTTGTATGAGTTTAAACTTGGTACAAGTGCATCATGTGCTTCTCGTAAGCTATGTACAGCCTTTGGTGAAGGTGCAGTAAGTGAACAAACTGCATGTAATTGGTTTCAGAAGTTTTCTTATGGCAATGAAAGCCTTGAAGACGAACCTCTAGCTGGACAGCCAATATCCCTAAACAATGAAGATTTAAAGGCAACCATAGAATCAGATTCAGGTTTAACATGTCATGAACTAGCTTCAAGGTTTAATGTAAGCAATGAAACTATAAGACTGCATTTGCACCAGCTGGGGAAGAAATGGAAATTAAGCAAATGGATACCATATGACTCAACACCAGCAAACAAGCTGCAGCGGTTTACCATATGCTCTTCTCATCGCAATAGACTAATAAAAGAAGCCATTTTTGATCGAATTATGACATGTGAGGAAAAGTGGATCATGTATACAAACTCTAAGAGGAAACATCATTTGTTATTGCCAGGTGATCCTTTGCCACACTCTTCAAAGGTACCACTCTTCCAAAAAAAACTTTTTCTGTGTGTTTGGTGGACATGTCACTATGAGTTTTTAAAAACTGGTGAAACCATTACTGCTAACAAATATTGCAAGCAACTTGAATGAGTTCAGGAAAATTTGTTAAAGAAACAGCCTGCATTAGTAAACAGAAAACAAGTTTTGTTTCTCCAGGACAATGTTCACCCACACATTGCAAAAATGACCCTTTCCAAGATAGCATAGCTAAAGTGGGATATTATGCTTCATCTACCGTATTCACCAGACCTCTCCCCCGATGGATTTTCACTTGTTTTTAGGCTTAGATAATCATATGAAGAACAGGGCATTTAATAATGAAGATGACTTGAAAACAGAAGTGCATAAATTTTTCAAAAGTAAAACTAAGGACTTTTACAAAAATGACATTACTCATTTGTTGAACTGTTGGGAGAAGGTCATAGAATGTAATGGTTCATATTTTGATGAATAAATACATTTAAGACTTTAAATATGCATCTCTAATTTCCTTTGTAAAAATTGGCAAAACTTTTGGGCACCTGATATAATAACTGAGTTTTATTAATAATGTTTTTATTAATTCTTCACATGACTGATTCCCAAAAAGACTTCAACATCCACAAAGCATGGATGCATGTAGCACTCTTCACAAGATCTGGCACTTGAACCTTCCTTCCAAACCTTTTGAACATTGACTGAACCAATCCTAGTGCATGGATCAGAAACTTGGACATATTTGCTTGTCTTGAAAGATGACTGGATGAAACATATACAAATCTATTTAGAAAAATCCAGAACATTAGTTGAAGAACTGAGACCAATCTCTCTTAAGCTCAAACAAAAACAATTACAATTTGCTGGCCACAGCCACCGAGAAGACAGCGAGGTTGTCTCATTCTTACTCCAAAGCATCCTTCTGGAAGTGTCTTATGAAAATTGACTTTCACACACACCATAGATCGGGACTTAGGGTTGGACATTGGGAATTTAGGGACAACAATACAAGACCGAACAGTGAGGAAAAGGATTGTCAATGGAGTTCCGACCAACTATAGGGAGGTCAAAGGATGATGATGAATTCATGACCACTAACAATCCCTTTCTTCCTTATTTTCAATGCACAATATACAGGATGAGGATCAAAACCTACTCCAATAAAATTTAAGTTAAAAATTGTAAAACGCAATCATTAACAATTAAATTTTACTTTTAATATGGCAATTTTCATTTATTCTTTTATAAGCCTGTTCAATACTTTCAACTTGCTTGCATTAAAGTCAACACTAACCATAAGTAGGTTTTAATAAATTCTTTTGTGAGGGGGGGCCATCATATACTCAATCTTCTAGACATGCCTCTAAAGTTAATGTTTTGGAGTTGCCTAGCAGAATATAGATAAATATTAAATGATCAACTCTTTAATAAAACTATATTTGCAATATCTGTTTACATGCTAGATAGAAATGTTGGCATCTGCTTACTTCCTACATATGCTTTTAACATTTTGTGTCACTACATATGTAATTAATAGAGAGAATGAAAGTTTTAATACATTTATTTAATAAATCCTACCCATGATATCATGTGTTACTGAAGTCATATACAATGTAAGTACATCTAATACATAAATTGAATGCCATAAAATCATTGAAAAGTAATTGTTTTTATGGCTCTTTATGATTATTTTTTTATTTTCATCTAAGAGTCACAAAATGTTAAGCCCCAACAGCTGCAACAGGTGCCTGCTCCACCATTTCCTCAGACAATTCCTCTCCACACTCAAACCGCACAAAATCAGCAACTGTAACAGAACTTTCTGCAATGTATTGGCCAGCTGTTTTGTTTTCGTCCATTAAAAACTCCTGAAAAATGAGACATTTCTCATTGTCTTTGTTTGAAGCAGGCGTGTCATTTTCCGGGTCTCCGATCTTCAATGGGTTCATGCCAACCACATGCTGGGAGAGACGCTGACCAATTTCAATCATGGTCTGCTGGTTAATATCAGCACCATCTGGAAGAACACTGACGAGAGCAGCAAATTTACCCACAGTACACTCACCCACTTTTCCTGAACCTGGCCAATAAAAGATTTAAATATATACTTACACAGATACATATAAAAGTGAAAAAAAAAAAAAAAGTTATTTTACACAACAATTATTTTTCAAATAATTCATTGAATGAATATTACACACATAGAGCAAATATTACACAGTAAAAATGCCAGATCAAAATTCAGTTGATATCTACATATCTGGCTACAGACTTGCTGATCCATCTTAATCAATATATATTTTTTATAGTAATTTTTGTTATAAATGGCTATGGTCACCAATTTATCCAATGGTTTCATAATTTACAAGATAAATACTAGAAACATGAAACACCATGGGTGAAAAGATACCAGCAGTATATACAACAGGATGTTTCATTTGCAATAAATATTTCATAATTTCAAATGGTAGTTTATAGTAGTTCTATATAATATAGTTAAATATAACAGACAACCAATGTCAATTATGTTTGATCATGAGCTGTTCCAAGCTTCGTATAGTGGCTTTAGTTTCAGGAGAAAATAAAGGCAAAAACTGTACAATATTTGGATATTTTTTATTATGTTGTTTATCAATCAAAGCTTTTGGCTTACATGAGCCATCATCAAAGTGGATGTATAGGAGCCAAAAGCTTAGATCAATGAACAACATAATAAAAAAATATCCAAATGTTGTACAGTTTTTTTTTTTATTTTCCCCCGAAACTATACATATATTGGGTGTATTCAGGTAGAAATCTTTATCTATACAAGTTTGACTAAAGACCAACAAAAGGATTTTGAGCAATATTTAACATTCGTGACTACAACAAAAAAAATAGTGTGTCAAAAGGACAGTTATTCCCTTGACACCCCTCATTACTGTATACACTTTTGACTTTCTCTACAATGTTTGTTTTTAAAAAGTGATGATTAGAATTTTAATAAAACCCAAACATATGAAAATGGATTTATATATTTTCTTTATTCTTGAGAATGACAACAAAGATATTAAACACTACTTATTTACTAGACTGCTTATTTGCAAGAATAATTTTATATTTACAAGATTATAAAAATATGTTAACCAATTATAATAAAATGCAATAAGTTCTTGGGTCACAAGAGTCCTGATCTATGATAATTCGTGGTTATGACATATGTATACATATAGAGTTTCCCAATAAGAGATAAAGATATTTTCTTGTTAAACTATAAGTTGGTGAATTCTCAATAAAAAAGAAAAATAAACTTATGTTTTTCTTTCTTCTCCAGATTTGCTGCTGCTTCCGAGTACTGAAAGAGAGACAAGATCTTATTCTTCATCATCTCATCTACTGAAAGCCAATGACATCACCGGCAATAAATATACAAGCAGCTTAAAACAATTTCATTTCATTATATGTATTATTTTCAGTTCATTTTGTTATATGTATTATATTTATGTCCTCCATGTGTTTCTTTTTTTTATTATAGAAATATGTTGTTATGTCCTAGATTATTACTTTACTATTGCATTAGCATAAGTGAGTGATATAAGTGCTTATTTCCCAAAAATCTCAGGTATGTTCCAACTTACATGGAAAATAGCATTACAACACATTATAGGAATGGAATTCTGTTGTAAGTTGAGGAACCCCCTGTGTTTATTATTTACACTTTTATGAAGAAATAAATATGAAAGAAATTTTTTTATTCATGAATTTATAAAAATATTTGTGGACAAGAAAATTTAAATAAACACATAATGACAAGTAACCCTAATTATAAATTTTGAAAAATGCATTTTCCTAACATTTCTTTCATTTGCTCTTGATGCATAAATTCACTAAAATAGGTTGAGGGCATTTCTTCCTCTTATATATTTTGATAATTTTGTAATACTTTTTTTTTAGAAATTTTTGAATGAAAAGATTTCTTTTCAAATTTACTTTTCCATAAGATAGTAAATAATAAATCTTTATCTCACTACTCCCTAGCCTTTTGAACAGGAGTAGAGGTTTATCCCATATTTACTGTTTAGAGTGGGTTAACGGTTCCCTGTAAAGTCTTCTCATTCTCTTTCACTACCATTAGGCCCTTGCATCTTAGTGGCATTTTGGCATTTTTACCTTGCTTGGGGTGAACTGATAAAGGAAAAAAGTAAATAATAAATATTGCATTGTACTTGGTTTACATATTTTTATAGTCTTGTGAATAACAATTGCCAAGGGAGTCAAACAACTATACAGTAATATAGGTATCAAGGGACATACTATTTTTGCAGGCACATAGGTTAAACATTGTTGATTTTTTTTGTTTATTATCTCTATATTTTGGACTATGTTCCTGGTTTCCAGCAAAAATGTAAATATAATTTAATTAATTGAGTACTTTCAGCTTTCATAAACAGTTATCAAAGAGTTTTTTTTATGTCAGTTTCATTTTTTTCAAATATTACATCTTCACATGTCAGTTTTTTTAAGCATCATGTCTTCACACTTCCGTTTGTGTTCTTGTGACTTTGTTCCTTCTTTAAGTACGATGCATGCTTTGACATTTATGTCTCTTTTTGATTCATGATTGATTTAGCAGAAGAATTCCCACAGTACGCTACCATTACTTTCTGCAATAGACTGGTACCAACAAAAGCTATAGGACCCAGTCTGTCCTGCTATTTAACCCAGAGCTTGGGGAAGAAGGGAGTGATTCATACCTTTCCAAAGGGTATTTGCACTTAAGTAAATTTAAAAAACTTGACTGGAATTTGAACTCTGATTTCTCATTCTGACCGGTTATCCATCAAACTACCCACATATTAAGAAAGTTAAAAATGCTCAAACATTGGACAATTTATGTTTAAATTTTCACCAGACCTCCCCCGACCAAGAAAAATTGGAAGATGAATTAAAATTCTTTATTCTACAATACATGTTGGTTCCAATTTCAGGAAAATAAATGGTAAAAAGCTCCCTTCTGCAAATTTATAGACAAATCCTACAGATGAATTTCTTTGTAGCCAATAAAAATTCTCAGTCTGACCTATAGGATAAACTCTTATATTTTATGATCAATACGTGAAGCACAAACAAGTAAGAGACGACTTCAAATAAACCTCACTAAATTCAGCAGATATAAAAACTTTTTACAATTCTATACAAATACAGCTCCAAAATTAAATAAGTGGTTTCTGGAACCTGATTGGATATGACAAGTCACATGAACTTCAGATGATCTGGAGATAAGTCAGTGCATGGGTTACTAAATACATTCCTGCGCAAAACTCAGATAGCGATTCGGAACTGACCCAAAAACAATAAAAACCGCTTGTCAGCAACAATTGGGACCAGATCTGAAAAAGGACAGTCAGTAAACAAGGCCTGGTCACAACAAACATTACCATGACAATGCAACAGTCAGGAACGATCTTTCTACATACAAAGAAACAACGAAAGTAAGTTCCAGATCACCTTCTCTTTGTACACTGTGTTTTGAAATCACTGCTATCACACACCAGTCTGCAGTCATATACATTTCATTGGCATGTGTGAAACACACACACATACTGGTGTACATATAACTTCGAACTTTGCAAACTCACTTACAAAAATTCACTTTGAACATTGAAATCATTGGTCTCTTCATGGCCACAACAAAGACAATTGAATTCTAATATGTAAATTCATGTATCTACTGTATAAATGTTGTTGTCATATTTAACTCGGTCTTCTTCCTTTTCTGTGAAGATTATTTCTTCACGTTATCATTTTTTTGTTTTGTATTGTATTTTGTGGACAAGACACTAGGATTTTATTTTTCCACCTAAAAATCCAGGTCAACTGACTCCACAAACCCTCACATATTTTCCTTGTTACCTTGAAGTCAGAATTCCAATGTATTCCATTTGTGTATGAAGTTTTTTTTATACTGTCCTATAATTGCTTTACTTTACCTTACTTTGTATTACATTGTTTATTTCTTGTATTATTTTGCAGTGTTCTTATTTTTATTATTGTTTTTGAGAATTTTGTCAATTCCACTTAAAAATGCCTGCTTATTCAACAATGCAAACTATCCTTTCAATTTTAAAAGTGCTAAAATGGTTAAATTTATTCATAAATCATTTTGAAGAATTATTGAATCAGTTATGATATTGGAAATTCAATTTGTTTAATTAAAAAGTAGGTTTTTTTAATATGACACTGTTTCTAGGTAAGATAATACTTCAAGAAAATTTGTCCTGGGTATGATGATAAACTACCTCTGGCAGCAAGACCTCTGATCAGGAGATTGGAGGTTTTGAGGAGTGTGGAACAAACAAACTTCAAGAAAATAATATTAAAATAGATACTGTATAAACATCTTGATAATATTTTAAATTGAATTTTACACTTTTTTATATACTTAAATAGTATGTAATTATATTTTTAACTATCGGTATTCATTATTTTCTCTAAGTATACAAACTTTATTTTTCTCACCAAAATTTTCATTTTCTTATGTATAATCACTATATTTACATATTAATATATTTCCAAGTGCAAGTCTTATTGACTTGTTCAGGGATTATTTTTAAATTTTCTATTATCATCATGATAAGAGCTGTTTCAACTTGAATCAATGTGATTTCTCATCTTCAGCAACTTTGTAAATATCAGTTCTATCCAAACAAACTTCCCTCTCCTGTGCTAACTTACAAGATTGCTGCAGGTCTTTCAAGCACTTCAAAGTTTTTACGAGGATGATGGAATTTTATTGATAGTTTTTTTAATGTCATTGTGCAAGGTATATGGTTGTTCATCCAATGTCTGTGAATGTTATTTTTTCATTTGATACTGATGACAAAACCATTTCCATATTTACTATTTCCAAAGCTATTAAGTTGTGTTGTCAAACTCTGATATTAATATCAAATCTCTCTTTGATTTTGGTTTCTTGGAAACAACATCAATCAATATTATCAACATCCAAAGCAAACAATTCTTGATTTTTTTTTTTTTTTCACAAGTCCTTTAACATTAAATGTCATCATAGTAAAATATTTATATGCAATTGGAGGCATTTATAAAGTTTTAAAGAAGAAGTTGCCCAATTTTAATGGTTAACAAACAGAGAAATCATTACCTTCTCCACAAGCAATTTTCGTTTATCTGTTAGAATATTTTTTTGTTTGATTAGTTCTATGCAGATTATTTAAAACCAGAAAATATTTTTAGAGAATTTTTGGTAGATAATAATGATTTACTGAGAAGAGTCCTACTAATTAACACACAGCTGGAGGGAGAAGAGGTGGATTCATACCTTTCCCAAGAGTATTTGCATGTAAGTGAATATAATTAGCCCAACTGGAATTGGAACTCAGCTTTCCAATTTCCAACTCTGAACTGTTATCCCTTACACTACTCACACATCCAAACTTACAACACCTGGAATTCCCAAGTGGTCATCCATTTAGGTACTGACCAGGCTCAACGTTGCTTAACTTCAGTGATCATACGAGAACTGGTGTTTCACCATGATATGAATGTAAGCTATTAGTATATTACAAATTAAACACAAAGGCTTGAGTCAGAGAGTTGCCATGGTAATGACAGAGTTTTCAGTTTTAATTTCTAGGATGAGTAGTTAATATATGTGCTATTTACATTTAGACTATTGTCCTCATCTTTGTTGTTATTATTACCCACATCAATAACCAACTGATGAATGCCAGAAGACACAACAGCCAAAACACTGTGATAATGAAAACAGAGATGAAGACAATAGTCTGAATGTAAACTGTGTAAATAATATTAGTTTTCATTTGTATATTTGAAAAATGCTCAAGTAGCAAAATGTCAATATATAAATGAATAATTTTTTCAATGTTGCAATTGGTTTTAACATATTCCATTTTTACTTACTTTGTCAGATATTTCATATTTATGACAAATGTACAAGATATAATTAAGTTACGAGTACTATTACCTTGCATGGAATGTATATAAGATCCAATTACTCCACCAGGTAAAGATGTTTGCAAGAAGGCTGCTCGCCGTAATGACATGTTCTCTCCAATGTTGCCAACTTCCTGGGCCACCAAGTCACCTAGGGTCACTTGACTTGCTACACTAATTTTATTTACTTCCTCTTTCTTCAGTAATACCTACAATGCAGCAAAAACATGGCTTTAGTTCACCTAGAATTTACAGATGGCAAATCAAGCAAATGTATATGATAAAATTTAATAAAAAGGCTAATGAAAATTAAATTAAAAATAAAAAATAAATTGAATGATTAAAAGGACAATAAAAATCCAGTTTAAAAACAAAAGGTGAAAACTATTTCAACCAAGTGCTCAAGAATTGGTAGTTTAGGATTTGCTACAACCCCAGCATATCTTAATGGATTCATCAGTTCTTATGTTACACAGCAAATATATTTACACATAATCTCGTCTTTTATCAAAATGCACTTAGCCAAATAATCTCCAGAGCTCACACAGATCAAACATTGTACAGAGTGCAGCAGAATTACATCCCACATAATGATAAAACATTAGTGACAATGGTGTCTTCATTGAGTTAATGTCTTACCATTATGTGGGATGTTATTTTGCCACAGCCTGTACAATGAATCATTTCAAACTTAAAATTTAGCTGCATCAGGTTTATTAGTCCACCTTCATGTAGATATAAGACAGAGAGAAAAGAGACGAGAAAGAAAGAGAGAGAGAGAGAAAAGAGGAGAGAGAGAAAAGACGAGAGAGAAAGACAGAGGAAAAGAGAGAAAGAAAAAGACAGAGAGAGAAAAGAAAAGACAGAGGAAAAAGAGAGAAAGAAAAGACAGAGGAAAAAGAGAGAGAGAAAGGAAAAAGAAAAAGAGAGCGAGAGCAAGAGAGCTAAATTTAAATAAATTAAATTCAACCCACAGAGTCAAGCTGTTTAATGTTTTTTTACTGCCTTTTCCTACTTTTCAAATGAGTTGGCACACATCAGGATCAAAATTGTGGATAAACTTTGCAATGTTCATATCTTGGATTTAATTCTTTCAACCATCGCAATCATTATCAAGAACTGAATGTTATCATTACTGTAAACAAGAGTTTTTTTTTCCTTTTGTTTTTAATTATTTAATCCCAAGAAAGGCAATAAATGCCACTAGGATACAAGGGGTTACTGAGAGTGAAAGAAATAGCGAGGATAATAAAAGAAGAAAAATTTAAGGAGACAGAAGATGATGATTGACATTGCATTTAAATATTTGAAGATCATAGTTGACAGGAAAACAGAAAGCTAAAAATGAGTTACACAAGCAAGAAACTATTAGCATAGAACTTATGGTTACAACAACCAGTTTCAACAATGAAATTGTGAGACATAGCTGCCAATCTAGTACTATGCTTAAAATTGTGAATCCAACATACCAATGAGGGGCAACCTCTTGGCCTTTTTGGGAACATTACATTTTAAATAAAGTATATCCTATAAATTACTTCATGTGAAGAAGAGTTTCATAAAGCTTAATTACATCAAAATGATTATATCTAATATTATATCTTCTTTTTCTATGTGCCATGTCCCTTCAGGATGTTAATGATGATAGTTCTCCCTGTCTTTTGTGGCTAGCTAATACCTGTCACAGATGCCTGCTCATTCTGAACACTCAGAGCCAACCTGTAGTTTTATACTGCTACTATGTTAAGCAGGTCTAGTTGCAGTTTCCAGGAGAGAGTGTATAATTTGAAATGATTTGTATTTAAAAAAAAACAAAAAAAAACAGTATATTCAAACCCTCAGTCATGCTGACTTGAACATTTCTTCTAGCACAACCATCAATGGTTTCCAAATAGTTTCATCCCAATACATATATATTTTATATATGTATTTTTTTTCTTTCTTTTTTACAATAAGGTTTACCCTGTACATGGCATGGGGGGAGGGGCACTCAAGGTAGAGAGTTACCTTAGGAGGCAGTTTGTACAGATAGGACAGGACAGTTGAGGCATTGAATGTAACCGGCCAGTTTTTCCCTATTTTCTGCTAGATTAGAAGAGAGATCAGCTGCCAGTCTCTGATCAAGAGGTTTAAATGTGCACCAGTATATAGTCATATCATCGGCATAGGTCTTTACAAATGATCAGAGAATATTCTTAGTCATTTATATAAATCAAAAGGAGAGTTGGTCCGAGAAGTGACCCCTGGGGAATGCCAGCATTGACCACCAGGGCATTGGAGAACTGACCTTTTATAACTATCTTCAGGAACCTACCTGTTATGAAAGATTTTATAATCGAGAAGACCCCTCCAACGATTCCATAACTGGAGTGCTTGTGCAGTAAATCTTTGTGCCAAGCCTTTGAGATATCTAATGCTAAAAAAGAAAGGCAAAAAGCATTTGTTTTACTCAGTCCCCATTCTTGTAAATGCACTTAATTTTGCATTTCTCCATTAATCCTACAAATAAAATATTATACAGTGAAAATTTCAAATCTAAATTCAAGTAAAAACTGTGTCAGTCTATGGACTTATAGATCTACTGTCATATGTATAATGCATATACACATCTCTCAGAGATTTTGGTAAGGATTAAATGAAGTACCAAATCCAAACCTTGAACAACTGACCTTTGTATCAGAACAATCAGTAAAGTATTGTTGACAAGATGCTGCAAGTTTCTGTACTAGTTCATGAAACTTTTGATTGCGAGCCACAAAGTCTGTTTCACAATTTATCTGGAAATAAATAAATCAGGCTTATATGAACTGAAAGCAAAATAATAAGAACAAATTAACTTTTAAAGCATTTATATAAGGTTGTTCAACATGAAATGACCACAACAAATTTTTACTATTTTTAAACACTATTTTAATTTTATTGTTCAGTAAAAATTTAATTTTCATTAGACTTCCTTGGAAAATATAAAAAGTCTTCCATCTTACATTTATATTTTATTTTTACAGGAATTCAAATAATATAAACAGGTTCTTATGGAACTGAATTGTCCTGTCAGTAGGGCTGAGAATAAACAAACTTCATACTCAGAAGGATTTTCCAACATTAAAAGGGGTGACCTTTCAATTTGATACATGCAAACTTGGGCAGAAACCATACCTGTGTCTACCTTTCTGACACTAGTGTAAAGCAGACCCATGTCTACTTTTAGACTCTAATGAAAACCAGATTCATGTCTACATTTCTGACTCTAATGTAAAACAGACCAATATCTACTTATCTTGATTCATTGTGATTTTTGCCCCTGTGACACATGTATTCAACATTAATTTTTTTTTTTAATCATTTCACTCCAAACAAAGCAATAAATCCACCAGGATGCAAGGAGGTTACAGATTGTTAAGGAATATCAGAAAAAATACTATTGAGAGAGGATGATAAAAGAACAAGAATTAAGAAAATTGAAGATAACAATTGACATTGCATTTAAATTTTTGAAGATTAAAGTTGACTGAACTTATGGTTACATCTAGCCAATTCAACTGTAAAATTAGTATTAAGCTTAAATTCATAAAGTCTAGGTACCATAGTGGAAAGTGATATTTATTTTGAAAATACAAAATGTGGCACAAGGTTAAAAGGGGGGGGGGATAGAGGAAGGCTGGTTTCAATCTGTCTTATCTTAAACTTCACTAGCCACAATACTAACCCAAACATACCACAATATTCCTTACACTAAAACAACACATTCTTACTCACCAGTCTTATTACAGCCACTATAATGCCTCAAAGTTTCTATGTAATCCTAACTAATTCCCATATGTACAATTTGTCTTTGGGTGAGGGAGAATAAAAATAACAACTTTTAAAAATACCATAGTCGAAAATTCATCAGAACAATTATGAAAGTATAAAAAAGACACAGGGAAGCTATGTTATGACAGTGGGAAAGAAACTGAAGCTGAGATGCCAAGTAGGACCAATAACATTGCAGATTCTTTGGATTTTATCAAAAATCTTTAAATATATAGAAGTACCAGACCAGATGTTGCAGCAATATTCAAAGCAAAGGCGAATAGCAGACTTATAAATATATAAGATAGATTCTGGCAAGAAAAATTGTCTAGCATGATACAGTGAACCAGTTTTCTTAGCTAGACTTAGCAGTTGATTCAATATACTCTTTCCACTTCATGTCAACTGAAAACATTAGTCTGATAACTAGGATTGATATGTCATAAATTAACCAACCCAACCTATCACAACTGATGTTGCAAATATAAGTTCTACATATGGAAACAATACTATTAATTGGAACACAGCAAAAAAAATTGCCATTCGGTATTCCAGTTCATAAAAATCAAGAGAGATTAGTTATACTCATCACTCAGGATGAAGATTTGAAGACTGCAAAGAAAAACATGAGAAAACTCAGTTAAAATATTCAAAGGAAATAATTTTAACTCAAGAATAAACAAAATAATGTGTTTTTGAAATTACTGATGAAATGCGTGACCAAATATCTAATATATTTTCATATCTACAAAGAAAATCGCCAACTAATTTAAACATTTCCTCTATCGCTAACTAAAAATGTTATCAATTTCCATAAACATATTTTTACTAAATTTAAAAAGGAATTTATTTTATGAAGAGACAAGCCAGTATTTCTGAGTAATAAAACATTTTAATGTAACATATTGTATCCCAAATATAATGCATAGCACAAATTTAAATGATCAGCCAAACTATATGGGATAAAACAATAATAGTACAAATGCAATTATTGAATAATCTTTTAAAATTTGGTTCAAAGTTTCAAATGATTTTTTATTCTCTGTTCTAAAGAAAAAATATATCTGCCACTCTGTCCACAGTCTTACATTGTTAGATTAAATTGTAAAATTTTAGAAGAAAAATATATTTTATTTGTCTATAATTTTACATAAATAAATGATGTTTTTATGACGACTGTTTTACACGAAAAGAAAGAATGGATAAATTTTTAAAACATGTCTTTGTTAAAATATTACAGCAAAAACAAGGGAAATAACTCTAAATATCTTAATGACAACATAATTTATGTCCCTTTAATAAATCCCTTCATTCGTCGCTCATGATGTTAAGTTTGATCTATATATAAAATTCTGTGACTTCGTGAGTCACACCCACTAAAATAGCCATACATTAACCGATCGAAATCAAATTTTGGGGAGAAGTGCAAACAGGCAAGTGGGTACAAAGTACAATTGTTTTTACTTGGGTGTGTAGCTTAATAAAATAAATTTTCATTCATTTTTTCTGGAAAAATTGATGCAAAATACTACTACTATTTTAAAAACAATTTAATGATTAAAATAAATACTTATTTATTAAAAATGCAAATATTTTTTTGCATTTCTTTTTTTTAATTTTTTACATTTCATTGATTGGTTTGCAAAATTGAATGAAACGTAGAGTTTATAAAACTTGACAAAAAATGTTAGCGATAACTTAAACAATACTACATATTGTGAGGATTTCAGTGTGTTGCAAAAAAAAAAAATTCTACTATTTAAAACAATGATGGCCAACCTTTTACATATGATGTGTTAATTTTTTTACATGCAAGTTCTGATATACACAATAAAAATTTTGTACTCCATTAATTCTTGTAAAAATATTTATATATTCAGCAATTTTTATATAATTTATTGATCTATGCAAGATAAATATCACTTCTCTTAATGAGACTTTTGAGTTTGATGTGATTTTGCCAAATTTAAATGTTTAGATTTAAATTAGTTATTGGAAGTAGCAGAAAATTATTTAAATTTTGAACAGTCACATGTGATCTTATTTTGTTTTTAATCAATTTCATTTCTGAAAATGTTTCTTTACATCAGTATACTTATTATGTGAAGAAATAGTTTTTACAAACAATATATCTATCCATGCAATGGGTCACGTTTTTTGGACCATGCATCAGTTTATCACTAATTTAAATCATTTAGTGATTTTGTCACACACACACATTGATGAAGACCAGAGGGAATATCAGCCAAAACGTTGTAATAATAACAATAAAGAAGACAATAGTCTATGTTTAAATAATAGCATTTAGCATTCAACCTGCCCAAACCCACCTCTCAATGTTCAACACACCGTAACCAGCCCCACGTATAAACTGCCACAATATATAATGATGTCATCACAAATAATACAAGAAGTCACACAGTGAAACTTTGAGAGATGATATTTACAGAGTGGGTTTTGGTGGTTGAATGCTAAAGGTTTAAAACATTTATAGTAATAATTATGTCATTTTGAAGTGTATTTAGATGACACAATTCTCTTGAGACATGAAGCAAGATGGTGTAATAATGACAATAACAAAAAACCTGAGTGTCGTAATCACACTATTAATGACAACTGTTTATGTTATTTTGTATCACCAAAGAAAATAAACAAAAAGGCTAAGTGTAAAAGTTAAAAAACTTTAAATCCTTAAAGCTTACTTGGCAATGTTTAACTTTTGTGCCCGGCAATTTTTACTTACAGGATTATAAAAAAATGCTCTAGCAAGTTCAGTTCATTATAGCGTTTCTTATACTTGTACTTTTATATCAGGTGCTTATTAAAAAAAGAAAATAAACAGTATTTGAAATGCAGATTGTTGCATTGTGGATAAATATTTGGTTTTAATGATGTGTTCAAAATAACATTTACAAAAAAATGAATGCATTGAAAATTATTTTTCTATTCATAAAGCAGTGGTAATAATTTTATTTTTAATACTTGCCTATTTTTCATAAAGCCAGACTAAAAGGCAGATGCATATAGAAACTTCTAGGCAATATTTAAATTTGATGTCCATAAAAAACAGTATGTGAAAAGGACAGTTATTCACTTGACACTGCTATTACTGCATACATTTTTGACTCCATCAACAATGTTTATTTACAAAATTATAAAAATATGTGAACCAAGTACAACATGATATTGTTTACCATTTCATAAAGAAATCAATTTGAAAAGAAACCTTTTTATTAAAAATTTTTAAAACATTACAAAATTATCAAAATATGTAAACCAACTACAATGCAAAATTTGTGGTAAAATTATAGAAAGGCATTCTGTATTTATGCACAAGTAGGAAAACTTTATCGACCCAATGAATAGGAAGATACACACTCAAAATATTCAGTTTTTGTGATCTCACCTAAAATCTAAAATTAAAAGAATGTTTGGTTCAGAGAAAGAGGTGCTCTCAACTTATTTTAGTGAATTTGGGTAGAGAGAACAAATGAAAAAAATGTCTGGAAAATGCATTTTTTTTAAATTTATAATTACAATTAGTCTTTGTTATACATTTATTTAAATTTTCTTCAGACATTTTTATAAATTTATGAATAAAAAATTTCTTTTGATATTTATTTCTTTATAAAATGGAAAATATTTCATTATAGTTGGCTCACATATTTTTATAAACTTGTAAATATAAGACTATTCTTGTAAATAAGCAATCTAATAAATAGTGTATAATAACTGTGTTGTCAATTCTCCAAAATAAAGAAAATGTATGAATCCTCTTTCATATGTTTGGGTTTTATTAAAATTCTAATCATCACTTTTTAAAACACACATTGCTGAGGGAGTCAAAAGTGTATACAGTTATAGTCTCAAGAAATTACTGTCTTTTTGACACACTGTTTTTTGTGCTGACAAAAGTTAAACATTACTGAAAAAAAATGTAGATCGATTTAATAAAACTCACATAAGTTACTTTTTCATTTTTATATCAGTTGTTTTCTCAAAGTATACTCTTTGTAGTTGGTTTACATATTTTGATAATTTTTATTAATTTTTAAATAAAAAGACTTCTTTTTGAATTTATTTCCTTATAAAATGTTAAATAAAACTTTATAAAAGGTAAATAATAAATATCGCATTGTACTTGGTTCACATATTTTTACAATCTTGTAAATAAAACATTGCCAAGGGAGTCAAAATAGGTTACTGTAATAGTGGTGTCAAAGAAATAACCAACCATTTTTTTTGACACTTTTTTTTTTTTTATGAGTCCAAAGGTTAAACATTGCCAGTTACTTTTAGTATATACTGTCCAAAGTCTGTCCAGATTAATATATTTGTCTAAATCAATCATTTCTTATCTACAGTTACTGTGTAAATTGAATTTACTGATAACTAGTGTTTTGGAAAAGTATTTTTACATATAGTATTTTTTTTTATCTTAGAAGGACCCTGATAATTATTAGAAAACTTACTTCTATCATAGTTGCTTTGTTTCCCTCCGTCATCACAGCAACTAAACCTTGGGACATAGGCCTTCCTTGCAATTTACTAGCCTTCTGCCAACCTTCTTTTTGTGCTTGTTCTCGAAGCCATTCCTCAGCCTGAAAAAGATTATGCCATTTGATATGACAATTGAATTTTATTTTCAGCAACATTAGTATAAGTTGGGATTAATAGTTTCTTTCCATTTACCTGAAACAAATATAAAGAGATATTACCGATTCCCCATTACCTACATCCTGAATGTTCCTTCATGATGATGACAATCATAGCTCTCCAGGGATGTGGATTGCCATAACATTTTAGGAAAGATAGTGTAGTGGTTTCCTGTTACCTTCCCCATGGTTCTGAATTAAAAATAGTCTTTCTTCTAGATTAGCTGCCACCCAAGGCTAGAGAGAGCAGTCTGCCTTGCTATTTAACCCATAGCTGAGAGCAAGATATGGATATGGATTCATGCCTTTCAGAAGGACCTTTGTGAGAAAGTGAATGCAACAGGCTAGGTCAGAATTTGAACTTAACTCACCAATTTCACATTCTACACTGATAACTATTACACTACCCACACATCTTCCTCATGTCTTATGATTAAATAATTTTTAATAAAATAAAAAAGCCTTTTTTTCCTTGTCTCAAATCTTATTAAAAATCAGAAAGGCTTGTGTTTTTGTCTAAATTTCTAGAATGAGAAATGACACTATTTACATGCAGTTTATTGTCCCCATCTTGTTATCACAACATTTCAGCAGTTGTGCTCTTCAAATTTCATCAGGTGTAGGTTGATCTGGGTAACCTACAGGGAATTCCAAATTGAATCATTTATTTAATATCTGAGGGTAGACGGTTCTCATTCCACTGTCCATGTCTAGGAATATCTTGTCTAATTCTTATTTTTTTAGTATTACTCAGTTATTGACCACCCTGTTTCCACTGAGTCCAAGTACACACTGAGTTCAATCCCTGGGTTGAGCAGTGTGTAGTTAATGGAAACAAATGAGCAATAACTGAGCAGTACTAAAAAGTAAGAGCTAAATGAGATATCACTAGACATGAGCAGTGGAATGAGAACAATCTACTCCCCACAGAATAAATAAAGGGTTCAGTTTGGAATTCCCTGTAGGTTACCCAGATTAACATACACTTGATGAGGGCCAGAGGGCACAATGAGCAAAATGTTGTGATCGTAACAAAGTCAAGGACAATAGCCTGCACGTAAATAGTGTAAATAAAGGTTTCTATCTTACATAATTGTTTATTTTGTCAAAAGAATTGATAGTGTTTAATGATGTTTGTATTTAATATCTCCATAAAAAATATCCTAGCTAAATCAGGACATATAATAAAAGAATTTGCTCTATGGATTTTATGATGTAGCATCTGGTGAAAATTGCTATGTTCAAAGTTATTTTAGAAACCTCCTCATCATTTGCACAAAACACTATGAGCAACAATATAGATGAATTCAGTTTTATTTCTACTTATCAAATATAGCAGCTTATGATCATGTCTTGCTGAAATACCAGTTCCCATATAATCATTGAAGTTAAGCAATGTTGAGCCTGCTCATTACCTAGATGGTTCACTTCTTGGGAATACCAGGTGCTATAAGCTTGGATATGCAGGTGGTGTAATGGATAATGGCTCAGAATTATTAATTGGAGAGCTGAGTTCCAATCCCAGTCATGTTTGTTATATTCACATGTGCAAATGCCCTTGGGAAGAGTATGAATCCACCCCTTCTCTCCTCTCAGCTATGGGTTAATTAGTAAAACTTGTTTCACTAAATCATTATTATGTCAAAAATAAATAAAGATTCTTACAAACTGAAAAAATATTTTCTGGCTTTAAATAACCTGCAATGGGTTGATAAACCATTAAAAACAAATCAATCAATCAAATACTAATTAGCTATGCAGGCAAGTCTCACATCTATTTACATTCTCTGAAACAAATGTATAGGAAATAACGTGGCCACAAAGTGAGGGATCAGTTTATATATTAATTGTGATATAGAATTGATCCTCTATTTTATAATTTCTTGATTGTTGATCAAATTCTGATTAGCTATGAAGTCACCTCTTCTCCCCACCCACTTATGGGTTAATTAGTAAGACTTGTACCACTAAATCATGATTATCTCAAAAAAAAAATCAATCAAAAGTATTTAAGCTTCAAATAACCTTCAATTAATAAGCTGTAGAAAACAAATCAAGCAAATCAAATATAATTTGACAAAAAAATTTTATGCTTAAACTTCAGTCTAGAAAAACAATGAAAATTTCTTAAATGATACAAGGATTAACTTGTAGTTGGACCAAAAATAAAAATCACTATAGAGGTCAAAAGTTCAAGCTTTTTTAGCTAACAGATTATAATGTCAACAGCTAAACAAATGAACTGCAGCCCTTTCCCTGTATCATCTTTGTTATATCCAAAATAATTTATGCCAACTGAAGTGGGCAGGTTTAATTTTTTCATTAGCTTATTACCCTGTAACATAGTTTAATACATAATTTAAATTGTTCTGATGATGCAACAGATTCAGAGTTTTTTTTTGGGGGGGGTATATATAACAGATACTAAGAAGAAATAGTAATAATTGTTACTGTTTATAGTATTTTCTAAATCAATGAAGTATAAAATTTGTACTATAGGGATTTAAAATGCACTTCACCAAGACGTATCATTATCATTTAGGATAGTATAGGCTGCAGCCTAGGGGCCCTCAAGTTTTTATAAAGCAATAATTTTAATTTTCTAGATGCTATAACTTCTAAATAATTTCCTAAACTGAAAATCTCATATTGTTTTAGTGTTATAATGCTGGTTATAAAATTTTTTTTTACTATAGAGGTGTTTAAATCTGTGCTAATTTGGTTTGCAATAAATAGTAAAATAGTAGTATTTCTTAAAGAATATTTATATTGACAAATAAATGATAACTATTCTAGTTTATTTAAAGAATTTGCAGTAAGTTTTCTTCAAGTAAATTTTGTTAAAATAATTCACAAGTAAAAAATATTCAAGATGGTTTCAGGTGATTTAGAGGATGGCACTATCTGAGGTCCTAATCTGGTCATGCCAAGGAGTCATAGTTAGAAAGCAAGTCTATTAATACTATATTAGAAAGACCCATGAAAATTCCACTGTTTTCCTATTTTAATTTTCTAATGAATCTTAATTATTAAATTAATACTTGTATAAACTCATGTCAATAAAATATCCATAGAAATTCTCCTATCACACTAGAACAACTTTAACAAAATATTGCAATAACGATCATAAATATGAATGCTGGTCATTATTTTAAGAAGTGGGTACAAATGAAAAGAATTTTCCATTTCACTGAAACAGCCATTAAACACTTCTATCTTTCCTTCTTGTTATGTTTTTCTATGCAATCAAAACGGAGAAGTCTATTATTTATGAGGTATTGCAGGAGTCATTAAACACTATCTTCCCTTCTTTCTTTCTCACTAAATCCCCATCTTACAAACATTTTTCTTAATAATAATTTTAAAATAATTTACCAGACAATGTTATTATATTTATGGTAACTGTTTTTTTTTTTGCCTTACCTGGTTGCTGTCGTTTGATCCTGTGCATCTGAAAAATGACACTTCTATTGCAGTCACCATTGTTTCTCAGCTTTTTTGCCAAGATCAAAGGGCAGTATCTGTTCTTATCAGCTTAATTTGATTCTCTCTCTCTTTCCACACCTACCTTCCCTTCTTTATTTCATTTTGTCACTGAAACCAAGTAATGTTTTTCCCTCTCCCACAATCAAAACAGGGAATAGACCATTATTTATGAGGTATTGACAGAACAGGGAGGCACCAGCCCAATTATAATGAAATAGTGAATTTAATCCTCATAATCCTTGTATCATACTAAGCTAAACTTAATAAATACTCCAACATAGCTTTTGAAAAAAAGATTTTTTTTCTAAATTTACTTTTAACTTAAATTTTATTTTTTATTATTTCATACTTAAATTTTACAGTGGCTTCATCTTTAAAATTTTCTTTGATAATATGATGTTAGAAAATTTCATTATTTTGAGATGATTCTTTTCAATAGGTCTGGCAAAGAAAAATTGGTAACTGCTCTTGAAAACAACCTGCAATCAATTGTTAATTGGGGCAAGAAATGATTTGTAAATTTGAACACCTCCAAAATAAAACTGCTATCTTTTAATCATCATAGAGAACCATTTTTACCCTCTATAAGCATGGCTGATACTAACCTCCAGGAGAGAAACCAATCCCACATTCTTGGTTTCAAATTTTCTTCCGACATGAAATGGAGTAATTGGATCATTTGCTAGGTCTGCTGCTAAGAAGGTTGGGTAACCGTGTCATTTTTTTCTCTCATCAGAATCCATATTGCACATTTATAAATCTACCATTCGTCCATGCATTGAATATTGCTGCTATATATCTAGTGCTCTGGCTACATATCTCAAGATTCATGACAAAATCCAAAGAAGGGTATGTAAGATTATCAATCCTGTGACCTGGCATCTTGACTTCACTCACTTTATCACCACCATGATGTGGCTTCCCTCTGTCTTTTCTATCAATATTTTCATGGCAGTTGTTTTAATGACTCTCCTCCTTGGTACGTCCATGAATTTAAGCATACTACTAGATTGGCTACTAGATCTCATTATTTTACTGTTGAAATAGCTATATTTTGTGAGAAAATGGGAATTAGGAAAAAAAAAAACTTCTTCTTGCGAACCTGAAATGAATGCACGACTCTTCCGAACAAACACACGGCACCCATGACTGCTGCTGACCAACGGACAACCGACCACAACGGCTGTTGTCACCCAAAAAACACCCTAAACGACTCGTGCGTCTTCTTCTTGTAGTTCTTGGTAGAGTCCATTATGATACTCCAAGATGTACCCAGCAAAAACACACACACACACACACACAGTTCGAGGACACTTCCGCGCATGCTCGTTACATATTTAACTGTAAGTTCTATTCTAATAGTTTCTTTTCTCACACTCCTCACTTTAGAAACTCACTTCCATTTTATTGTTTCCCTGCTACCTACAATCTCCAATCATGAAATGTCAATCAAAATATTCTGTCTTCCTGAAACCTATTCTTTTATTGTCCTTTCTCCTCACTAAAGTCTTCTCATTCTCTTCTACTCCCAGTAACCCCTTAGTGACATTATCGTCTTACTTAGAGTGAAATGATTAAATATATATGTACATAAACATCAAGTGTTTATGGGAGAATATGATATATAAATTTTATATATCACACTAAAAGTGGGTAATTGAATAACAAAATGGAAAAAATCCTATGTAATCCATTTTGTCCTTCAAAAGGACTTCTTCCTTTTAAAGGACAAAATGTTACATAGGATTTTTTCCATTTGTCATTCAATTACCCACAAGTGATTATCAAAGGTTTTAAGCCAAAATTTTTAATCCCTTTTAGTATATTTATGTTAAATTAGGTTGGTTGATTTTACAACATATTAGTTATTATTGGGTTATTTAGTGTCAAATTTTATATGAGACACCTAATGAGGACCAAACTCATAACTCAGTAGTAATGGTCAAATAGAACAACAGCCTTGTAAAGCATTACTCCATGCCAATGTGACTTTATATATTTAGGAAATTATGTAAAAGCAGAGTTTAAATTATTCTTTATGTGATATGAGAAAACATTGGGTCACAAACAAAAACAAAATAATCAAGAAAATATCTTACCTGTTTTATGTCATTATTAAATTGCTGCAATGCTTTTTTACAGTTCACAAAAGTAAAACCAGTTTTTTTCCGCAGCTCACCAAGAAGCTTTTTGTCAACCACTGAGGCAGAAGATGAGCAGAAATTCATACAAGATTGGATGTGGAATAGACGAATATTGCTCAGGAGACGAAACATTTTTAGCAATAAGTTAATATCTGAAAAATATCTTTAAAAAGAAGCAGGTGTTTTCATTTAATTTTTCATATAATAACTCAGTACAACTCACTTTTATTTATATATCTTGAAAATGTAGGTAAGTATTAATAAAAAAAAATAATTACCTAATGTTTTGAATAATTTCAAAGTACATTTTCCTTGCATTAAAGTTGTCTAATATAAATTTTGTTGAGTTTAAGATCATCAAAGTGAAATATTTATTTAAGAAGTTCTTGAGTTCTATAGAACATTAAGAATTTGTTAATGCTATAAAAACAAATGTTTTATATATATATATATATATATATATATATATACATACATACATACATACATACATATATATATATATATATATATATATATATGAGAGAGAGAGAGAATTAATCCAAGTAAACGGTTTGTTACTTAGCTGATTGGTGTTACCTTCTGCATCCTGACTTCAGAGTTTCATAGACAGACCCTCTGAGAATTTAAATTTACTTGGTGGAATAATGGATAGCGGCTTGGACTGAGAAATAGGAGAGCCGAGTTCAAATTCCACTCGAATCCACTACATTCACTTACATGCTAATATTCTTGTGAAAGGTATGAATCCTCTTCTTCTCTCCCCAGCTATGGCTAAATAGCAGGAGAGACCGGGTTCTATGACCGTGGATAAAGTTTCAGAAAGTATATTTTATTTTTGGAAGATTTTTAAAACCGAAAATTAACTTTTGTTTACAAAGGTGTCAAAAATGGCTGACTTAAACGATTTCTGAAAGCAAGCAAAAAGTTGAGCATCTAATTTGGTTATAATGTTGAATTAACTTTTTTATTTGTGGAAAATGCTCTGAGTCTGAGTATATCGAATGGGACACAAGGTCAGTTTAACTTTAAAGTGGGTTTTATGGCAATACCGTGGAAAGATTGTCCAAGCAGCCTCGGCACTTCCTTTTTTGGGGGACGCCCCAGGCGTCGGGCAATAAACCCAGCTCTCTCCGAAGGAGCTTTAATATTTTTTTAAAACTTCCCTGGCATGTGCCAGGTAACAGAGTATGAGGCTAGTTTAAAAAATATATATAAGGGAGGTAATTTCAAATTCGTTCAAACCGGTAAACTTTTAAGAATAATTGAATGTGAAAGATTAAAAACAAATCAGTCACAACCCTTACCAGGTGTTCTTAACATGGAATTGATATACACTCTAGAACTATTGTTCCCAAAGTTTCAATTTCTGATAAAAAAAATAATCTTTATTTTTTTTTTTAATTTATTTACTTTTTGTAACAAAACCTGGAAAAAAATTGTCGGGATGGGCGAAACCTTTAGAAAGATTGAAATATCAGTTAACTTTCATGAGTCAATCTCTCCAGTTAGGAAAATAAAAACAATTAAAAAAAATTATGGTAAAAAATATTTAAAAAACTTGACCTTCAATAATCAAAATGTTGAATGGCAACACATAAATGGATGAATGATAACACGTTACGTCAGTCAAGAATGTATTATTTTGATTACTAATGTCTGATGTAATACAGTAATACCGTTGAATCATGGCTATCGACTTAGATGATGTCAGTGAAAATAAGTCATTTACATTAACAAAAATATATAAAATTTGTTTGTCACTCACCTCCAAGCCGGACAAATATTCGGTGTCTTATCCGGTGTCAGAGCAGTTATGTCCCTTGTTGTAGTAATTCACTGCTTTGTCAGCTGAGAAAATCTCCACGCGATACTAGGAAACCCCAATCACTATCCATTAGACTCGTAGTAAAAAGTAGAGGAAAAAAAAAAAAAAAAAAACAAGAAGAGAAAAAAAAGAGGGAGGGGAAGAGGGTTTCAAGTCTCGTATCCTTTCTTTTACAAGTATTTTTAAAGGAGCTAACGAAAAAGACAAGACTTACTCAAAGTTAAATTTGTAAAGCAACTTTATTTTACAATAACAAACATATTTTTTACAAATTGTACAAAATTTCCCTTGTGCAGTTCATGCTATGAAAGGAAATTAACAGTTTTTTTGCAATACAAATCTGTCTTCTCAGAGAAAACAACAATTCATGAAAAATAATTTTTTCCTTAACAACAAAGGAATTTTAACAAATTTCTTTTAGGACAACACTTCATATAAATCAATTTCTTAGCAACAAAAGAAGTTTACTTTATTGGGCTCGCCTATTAGCCCAATCTTACCTTCTTCAAGTAATGCACTATTCCAACTTTCATTCATAAATCTAGCCTTCTGATTGGTTCATTTCAACCAATCAGGTCGCCCGCACATGCACTTCAAAGTTTGGCGCAAAATCGCTCTGGAGCCACCCCACGTGATCATAACCTCTTAAAAAAAAAACAAAGCACGTGTGACCACGAGAGGCAGACGGAGATGCAGACCTGGACAGATCAGCAGCAGACCATTTTTTGACCGCTTACTCAAGCTTAAAAATGTGATGACTACAATTCACCATCTCGCTAATCGAGACAACAAATCTTTCCCATTCAATATCTTCTACGAACTTCATCGTCATTCAAGAATCTCAAACCATACATTCTCTTTGACCATCTACGATAAACCAGTCAGTAATTTGCCTTCACAAAGAGAGAGATTCCACACAGATCCACGCATGTCTACATTTTAACTTGAGCACTTTTCGCACGTCAACTCCTGACTCAATTACCAAAACTTTAATTCATTTAATATCCTTGATGCAAACCTTGTCAACTTGCATAACATCAATACACAACCTTTTCTCTATTTGTAAAAATTGTATATAAATGTTCGATATTTTCTAGTTGAATGCACATCCACCATTGTTTCTTGTTCATTTTGCATTGAGTTTTATTCGACTTATACGTCTATGCTTTTATTTGTTGTGATTCATGTGAAGAACATGCTTACAAACTCATCACACTAGCAACTAAAACCTTCTGATTTCACACTCAATTCATAGCGATCCCAACAACTTCAAAAAGTTCACAAATTCAAAATGTTGAAGGTCAAGGCAGTGACATGCCGAGTTTGGGTGATGCCCAGGGCTTACTCCTTGATTGCATGCTCATAAGACTCAAGTAGCGGGTGGGCTATAGGGCCCAGTACTGAGAAATGTGAGAAAGGAAGACATTTTAAATATGTAAAAACAGATGAAACATGAAATAAACACTTTATTTAAATTAGATATAAACTAAATTTTTATTTCAGTCTTTGATTGGATATCCTCCCAAGATGGGTGCCGAGGGCTGTCACAGCCTCTGCCACTCCTTCTGCACACTACTGGGTTACTGAGTCAAGGTGGGGAGAGAAAAGGTGACTTACCTGAGATGACATTGGTTCTCTGAGTCCTTCATGCAAAATATTCAGAGTTTCAGAACAGGTATTTTCAAATATGAGATTAACTCTCACAGGTTTAGAAAAGACATTCGTATATCATATTTAGAAGATTCTTTTCCTTCTTTTTTTTTCTTCTTCACCACCAGCAACACACACATAAAGACAGCAGCAGTTTTTTATCATCCCAGGTCACAGTTTTTCTCAACTGAGTAGTCAAATCCATTCTGGTCCCAGATCATAGTTTTTTTCCTTAAAGTGACCCTTTCCTTTTTGCTTCTACAGCAGCAGTCTTTACATGCTTGTGATGTTCAATTCTTCATGCCTAAATCACAGCTTTCTCACCTAGGTGTGGTCCATTTTTTTCTATCTTTGCTGGCAAAATTTTTCCTTTTATATAGCAAACATGTGACTCCAACTGGATCAAAAACCAACTCCTTTGGGTGTGGTGAGGGGCAGTTAACCTATTAGTTAAAAACTGAGAATCAATCTCCAATCAAAATGTGCACATCTGAAATTTAAATTTGGCTGGTTTTTAGCAACATCAAAGCCAAGCCCATCTGTAAAATTTTACTACAAAATGTTTTAAACCATCTGGCTTCATTTTGGCAATTTTTTAATAAACAATTTGGCTTCCTTTTGGTAGGTTTTTATAACTTTAATTTGGAGCCTCTTTTATTTTTAAATCTTTACACATCACTTTTCATTCATGTTGGCTTCATTTTGGCAGTTTCTTTTTCAAAGAGACTGTTAGTAATTTATTCTAATTTATTTAATTCATTTTTCATACATTTCAATATTATCTTTTTTATTAAAAAATATTTTTATATTAATTTTTAAAACATTCCAAAATTTCCTTATTTTTTGCTTACAATTTTAATATCTTTTTTATTAAAATGATTTCTATATTAATTTTTACACAATTCTAACATTTTACTTTACTTTTTCTCATACAATTTTACTACTATCATTTTCATTAAAAATAATTTTTATAGTAGAGGCAATAACTACTACAGGTGTGGATGTGTCTAAAGCAAGATAGGCTGACAAAACCCATCCTGATTCAGGCTGGTTTTGATATCAGAGTTATTCTTCTAGATTGATTGCTCTGACAAGGCTAAAGAATCTAGTCTGCCCTATTATCTACAAGGGTTTGAATTTAGAGTTTTCCTTATTGTTGAATGGATGCCATTTCCAGGAACATTAGTGTGAAGTTAGCTAAACAAACTCAATCAGAATTTGAACTCAGCATACCAATTTCACGCTAATAAACATTACCCTACCCATGCATGCTGTTCTTTTTTTGACAGAATTAATAAGTTTATTAGATGATTAATAGAAATAACAAAAATTGCATAAAGAATGTTTTCATATAAGAATGAGTAATTTCAAAATATTTCAAAACAATGATTGTTTTTTATTTTTATGGTAGTTTGCAGGAAGAAATTGTGTGAGTGGAACTTACTTCTCACCAATGGAATACAGAGGGAATAAATGTGGTTTACTACAATGTGAGTGGCATAGTGGGTCCTAGCCATGAAGTTTAGAACTGTCAGAACTGAGGGATACAGTTCATCCAAACACTTTCCATGAAAATAGCAATAGAGCAGTAAGAGGGGATTTCAGAGTGGAAAATAATTTGTCACCCACAAGGAAATAGAAATACTATTGGACTCTATCAAGTCTGGAAAGTGAGGATTAGGCAGCTCTTGCCCAAATATGACAACAGTACTCCATTTTAGGCATGATCTGGCTCTTGTAAAGGTAGAGAATAGCACAAGGAGTCAGATACTTACTGGAACAGTTCTGAGAACTGACCATTTTTACTGCATCTTTAGTGATGAATCATATGTACAAGTTCCACTTGAGTTTAAGTCCCAAGAGTCTCTCAAGGCATGGGGCATGGGCAGAAAAGAGTATCGGTTTCATTCAAAAAAGTAATTACAAACAGAATGCGAAAAATTTGCATATATAATTAAAATTAAAATTAAAAATAATGTTTAGAGTCAAATAATAGAAAAAATATTCATTTTATTAAAGTATCAGATAAAAAATATAGAAAGGAGGAATATTTAAAAGCTAATATCTGATTTAGCATTTCCATTATCTTGTAATGCTCTACTTGGATATAGGCAAAATCGAAACTGAATATTCTTTTTTTTTTTACACAAGATAAGCAAAATTGGCATTTAGATTTATGAAAAATTGATTTCTATGAGTTAAGTAAAAGTTACTTTTTATTAATTTAATGACCAATTAAAAAGATTTTCCAGGGAAATGAAAAAAATTAGTAAATGTATGGATTTTATCAACTGAGACATATTTCTTGTAAATAAGCCAATTAACTATTGATATCTTTGTAGTAGGATTAGGTAGTAGTAACACCATATGAAAATATACACTTTCCTTTTCACTAAGAAAGTGACAAACAAAACACTCTTTCTCTTCTCTATTACACATTACTTCCTTTCCTTCCTTCTATTGTTCCTATCCTTGGTAACTGACAGAACCTGGACATAGCTTATGTGGGTCAGTGAACGTCATAAAAAATCAACTAATGACAACATGTCCTGACAGAAAATCAAACGGAAAACATGGATGTGTCAAGCCCAATAAAAAAAAACAAACACATGCACAACAGAAGAATCAGAAGAACCAGAAGGTGAAGCGGAAAATTGGTTCGATGTAGCAGTTCGAGATGCAAGAGTTGGAGATTCATCAGATGCTGAGTTTGACCAGACATACAACTCCAGAAGAAAAAGAAGAAGAAAGGATGAATTCCACAAATTAATTTCTCTCAGCCAAAAACACAATGATCCTGTATGAACTCACAAATCCCAAAAAGGACTAAGACAATAGTCACCCACTTTAACCATTGTAACCAAATAGAGTCAACAATAAAATGGTACTATAGACAGTAAATCTGACCTTTACTTATGTATAAACCCAACCTTCATCTCTATATACTATACTGGTGAACCCTGACGTTGAAAAGAACACCCTACCATACTGGTGAACTCCGATGTTGAAAGGTATACTCTACCATATCTTCATCCTGACTATTTGTTTTCTACAGGTGCCCTTATGTCAGACTTGGTTTCAATTAATGCAATCAAGATCTTGCATCATTTCTCACACAGTGACCAATATTTTAGTTACAATGTTGGTGCATTATTACAAAATTTTTTCACCACAAAACTAAAAACTTTCAAATTCTTACATGCTCAAGAACTCATAATGTGACAAATTCTTGTCAAGTCTTAAATATGTAGGTCACATACTTAATTTATACAAACTATTTAAGATTAACAAAAAACACAAATATTTGTGATGTGTCCAAATGTAAAAATAAAATATAAAAATAAAATATAAAACAAAAATTCAAATTAAAAGAAGGCATTTGCTTAAAACACCCCTCTCTCTCTCTCTCTCTGTCTCTCTTTCTCTTTTTCTCTCTCTCTCTCTCTCAACTAATGAGAAGGCAGTTCTCATATAGAGGGAGAAGAAGAAAAGACTGAACAACTGCTGCAAAACTAAAGTTCACTAGTCCAGGGTCTAGTTATTGTGACTAGAAATCTGCCAAAACAAGAAAGGCTCCATGCATAATTTCTGCTATAAAAAAAGGAAAAAAAAAAGAATTCCAGAAAATAAATAAAAGAATTTTAACCAATCAAAAGAACAAAGAGATTTTTTATGCTCGCCAAAACCAAGCTTTATACCAAGTAGAATCCATATTCATGCAATGTCTGTGGTTAAACATTATCAAAGAGGTCATATTTAAAAGTTCACATGCAAACACACAAATGAGAATTACCATATACATATAAAGTAAGCATATTCAGCATTTTTGCAGAGCTTGTGTTTAAACACTCATGGGGACACATGGAGTGTGCACCTCAGCATATTCATTATTTTCAAGATAAATGAAAACAGTTGTGTGAAACATTATACATCTGATGTGTGTGATTTGGCATTTTTTATGATTAGATTTAGAGTCTGTTAACAAATGTCCAACACCACAAGGCTGTTGAAAAAGTCTGTATCTCAAATCCAGTCTCTCAAATCCAAAAGGTAGGAAATAGTCAAAAATGAGAATCACAGTCAAAGTCCCATGTCAAAAGTCCAAGAGGCAAAATTAAAAATGGGTAAAAGCGTCCAACTGACAGATTGTATTTCAGCAAAATCACTGTCACTAAC